AGCTACTGCAATTCCTTAGTGCAGAAGGCCCATCGAAAGAATTCGTTGATTTCCATACAAAGCTAGCTGGACTTACCGGGTAAATATTGTATGAAATATTAGTTGAAATTCAATTGCCATGGAATGTTTAGTGTTGAAATGTGTCTTGTCCAAAAAAACAAATGGAGTTATGTGTAAATAAAGAGGAAATCTCTGATCTGGTTAACCGCACTGAATTTCCTAGTGTATAGTTGTCTGTTCAACATTGTCTGGATGCAAAATGCAGCAAATGAAAAGGTCGAATCAGTGAGTCTTTAGTATAGGAACTGGAAGGAAGACAATATCCTTTTCTGAGTGTGCGAAGTGAAGAGATAAAAGTGTGCAAGAACCGGCTTTTCTGAGTGTGCGAATGAGTGAGTCTTTAGGATAGGAACTGGAAGGAAGACAATATCCTTTCATTTTTCATGTAATTTACTTGCGGATTTTTTTATTTTTATTTTTTAAATTAGAGGTCTGTTATCGTGTTGTACGGTCAGTTATCTGTGACTACAAATTGATTCACTCGCTTGCCTGATTCAATCTTCTCATCCATTTCCCAATTGTGACAGGGTGACTAAAAATTACTTCCAGAACCTGGTAATGGCATTAGAGAAAGGCCTATGTGATGTGGACTCTCAAGCAGTTTGCGGTGGGTCAACAAGCTCAAAAAACGTAGGAAGCAGCAAAGCAAAAGGTGGAAGGGGAAAGGTAACCAGTCGAGGTGGTGGGTCCAGCAGAACTGTATAGCACGGATATTTGGACCAGTGATCAGTATCGTACAACAATTCCATGCCTGCCACATGTGCCATCACCGTTGGTGAGTATTCTAGCTTCCTGTGTTCCCAAGTCTGTTGGAGAAAAGAAGTTAACGCAAGCTAAGAACAAGTGTACAATAGACGATGGATTCTTGGTACGAAAACTATGATGGTCTGAAATGGAAAAAAATGCAGATGCCGTTTAGGGTTAAAAAAGGTTGGCCTGTTGGTATTTGTGTGTGTTGGTGGAAACATAATGTGATTATTCTGTACATAAAATCGACGTGCTTATAAACTAGGGGTTCCACGACCTAATTTAAGTATATTGCAGTTGTCTATTGTGAATGCCGATATGCTGTATTTATTTTCGTATCAGTTTCAGTAACGTTTGTGTTTGGACTCGTTTTCTGAATCCGTATGCTGTGAAATTATTCGGAATTGCATTCATTGTAATAGTTAAAAGCAAGTAATGAGTAGCGGGAAAAAACATCGCATATCTGATGCTTCTCGCGTCATTTTTTGGTTTTGGTTTTTGCAGTTTGCACTCAACGAGTGTATGATCAAGAATGTTGGTTCTTCTAATTTCGGATTCGAACGGTGCCCTATTCTATCCTATTTTTACTTGAAATATATTTTGCTAATTGAAATGTGGCCATTTTTTGTTTCGAAGTCATTAAACATGTGTACAATCGGTGTTTGGAAAATGTTTTGTCTAAATTATTAGAAAATCATGGCAAAAAAGTATATTAATGCTTGAGGAAATTTGATGGGCTGGGAATAAAGATGTGTGTGGAAATAATACGAAGGAGGAATTGGATAATTTTGGTTTCAGTGGTCTATTAAAGTTTTATAGTCAAAATGGTCATTTAGATTAACATAACCCATCACTTCGATCATTGAGATTTGAGTTCTATAGAAGTAATCTCTGAGTTTGTCTGTTATCAATCATTTTGATCATTCTGTGTAAAATTTTCATTGGATAAGGATAAAATGATAAAATTATGTTTAATTTTTATCAAATCATTTTGACTCATTGTTTATTAAATTAATAGTATTTTTGTCATTTTATCCATATTTAATAGAATTTTTTAGTGAATAACTCAAAATAATTGATGGTAAACAAATTCAGGAACTACTTTTATCGACTTCAAAATCTTATCGAGCACCTTACTCGCATCGCGTACTTCCAAACGCCACACTTCTCATATACATCTGGATCAAACAAACAACTCGTAACCGAGACAGTGATACGATTCTGCGATCCCTGGAGCTTTTGAGTTTTTGGTTTGACTAAAATACCCCGAGCTCTGCGTGCTGTATGGTTTGAAATTCGAGGATAATTTAGTCATTTGGTACACAATGTGGTTGGGTTGGGCCCTTTGGGGAGGGGTTCCCACTCGCAGGCGCCAAGGAGCAGAGGGAAAACGGCACGTGATGAAACCCGCGTTTAAGCGGTCCTATTCCCAAACGGTCATATTTTCCCTTCTTTAAATTTCAAAACCCCCATCCCACTCCCTCACTGGATCTCTGGATCGCTCTCTCTCTCTCTCTCTCTCTCTCTCTGGCTCAAACGATCGTGTTGCATTCTCTCGGTGTGCGTCGGAATTCGAAGCCCAATTCAAATTTGTTGCTCTCTCTGTCTCTGTCTCTCTCTCTCTTTCTCGCTTGATCTCTCTCTGAGCAGAAATTGGAAGCTCGATTCAAATTTGGGGACGAATACATCCTCTTCTCTGAGCAGAAAGTCGACGACTTGTTCCCAGTTCCAGGTTCAGTTCTTGCCTTTTCTTCTGTTTTATTTCTCGGTATCGTTAATTTCTGTCTGTCTAGCACTGTAACAAGAAACCCTAATCCCCAAATCCCGTATAAACAATTCAGTCGCACTCTTCGCTGATCTTCTTTATTAGCCCTTGTGTTTGGAAAGTGTTGCTTTTTCTTCTTCCACATTACCCACTTAGGTTTTTGGTTTTCGCAGAAAGCACACCGCTTTCGTCTGTTTGTCTTGTGTGTCGTGAAGAAATTGGAAAATTGGAGATGAGGGGTCAAGATTTGAGGCCCACTGTCTCTTCTCTCAAGCGTCCGCGTTTCCCTGATTCCGATTCCGATGATGCCGTTACGGTTTTGGGTGATACGGTCAAGAGGCAGAGGACTCATGATTCGGATGATGATCTTTTGGTAATGGAGGACTCAATTAGGGAGCTTGATGATCTACTTCATCACGAGGGGTCCTCAAGCAGCACCACCGAAGCAAATGATTGCTTGGATGATGATCTGTTAAGATCCTTAATTGACGAGTTTGAGCTTCTGCCTGATTCTGCTGTTGCGGCCTCTGCTGCAGACGAGGCTGCCGTTGTGCCTCGGCTGACTACTCATCTCGGTCATCATCATCACGAGATTGAGGAGGGGCCAAGAACCGCGGATGAAAGAGAGTTGGATGATGAGGAGGACGTGATCACTGAATTCTTTAATCATATTGGAGGAGAGGATGATGAAGACCCCAATCAAGATCATGTACATCAAGCTACTGAGCCTGATCACACTACTCTGCTCATCACCATCATCCCGTTCCCTCCTTTTCAAATCATTATTTTGCCAGTTGTGGTTGGAAACATAGAGAGGCCACGGGCCTCGGTTCTCCATTTTCTCTTGATTTGCTTGCTCACCATCATCATCATCTAGAAGCGGAGCAGGAGGAAGAGGACTTTACACGGAGTATACAAGCCTTGCCTGAATCAAGTTGTCTAGCTATTAGCGTCAGCTCTTGTTTTTACTACTAGTAGAGTTCAAGAATTCAGATGAGAACGGTTACCTTTCAGCTTTTTCTTTCCGACTTCCGGTTTAATCGTAGTTAGTTTATTAATTTTCAGTCTTTTTATTTACACGGAAGACGTGATATAGAACCGAACGCAATGGCGTTCTAGGATTTATATAGCCGACCCTACTTAGTGGGAAAAAGCTTTGTTGTTGTTATTGTTGTGGATAGTTGTTGTGGATAGAATAGTTCAGTCTGTTATTTCGTCTAGCTGGTGGTCTTACTCCGTACTTCTGTCAATCTTGAGGAAATGTGTAGACAATATACCTATGAATGTACATGAAGTTCCCAATAGTTCTGATTGCACTTGCTTTTGTTCTTGTCATTTCTTTCAGCACACTAGTTTTTGTTTCAATTTTCAGACGTTGGCGAACAGTAGTACTCAGTTTATCACTGTTTGTTTCGACATCTACGTTTTGTTTCATGAATAATCAATCTGCTAATGACTGATTCCGAACATGTTTCTTATGAAATCTTCTCCAACATAGTTTTGGACAGGAAGAACTTAAAGGTGTATTAGAGGTGGGAGAAAATCTTGTTACTCCTATGAAAAATGAATATGCAACGTTATGTGAACATCGTGATTATGACTTATCGTGTCAATCATAGGAAATCGTAACTGTGGCTTGAACATAGGAATATCGTGACAATAACTTCTCGTGTCAATCATGCAATGCTATGTGAATACAAATATGAAACAAATCTTTTTCATGTCGTAATCAACTTTCAATCCAACTTTCACCCTCAAATGTTTGGGTTCATTAATTTAATATAAAAATCTAAAAAAATTGACAATAAAATGCCAGATAACCAAAAGAACTGGACCCAGCAGAAAAACAAATGGGCCAATAAGTAAAAAAGGGAACCTAGCCCAATCGATTTTTTTTTGTTTTTTTTTCCCTGCGTTATTTTAGTCATTCGGCTCGCAATTTGGGGATATGGGGTATGGTGGATATGAAAATGCCACGTGATTAAAACCCGCGCTTAAGCGGTGAGCCTTGCAAGTTCGCAACGTTAACATCCAATTCCCAAACCAAACGGTCATATTTTCTTTCATTTAAATTTCAAATCCACTCACTCTGTCTCTCTCTCTGTCTCTCTCTCAAGATCTTTCTCTCTCGCTCTCTCTGCGCGTCCGAATTTGAACCAGAATTAGAATTCAGTGCTCCAACAGTCTCCGGTTGAATTGAATTATGAATACTCGAAATCGATTCCTCTTCGGTTGCTCTTGTTTGGGGACGAAGACCGCGATTGAGGAGACGTCGACGAGCTGCTATCGGCTTCCAGGTTTCCCTTTTTCTTCTCTTTAATTTCTCGCTTATTTTCTCTTCTTTATTTTGTGCCCAAGAAAAAATTAGGGTTTTTGCTGCTGCATTTGTTTTGTTTTAAATTGCATTGAATTGAAATCGCGTTTCGCAATGGAGGTGGGTTATTACGGTATGCCATTGGGTTTTCGGTTTCATCCTACTGATCAAGAATTGGTCAGTTCCTATCTTCGCGATAGAGCCCTCTCCGGAAAGCCCTTGGGCAAGCCGTTTATTCAAGAGTTCAATCTCTTCGGACAAACACCACCGTGGGTGGTTTGGGAGCAGTTCGGCGGAGATTCCCTACTCGATCAGGACTTGTTCTTCTTCTACGAGCTGCGTTCTAGAAGTGACAGCGATAGCCGCAGCAAACGCCAGATTGAAGCCGGAGGCACTTGGAGCGAAACATCCTCCGACAAAGTTTTAGGTTTGGACGGAATTCCAATCGGGGATAAAGGGCATTTCAGGTATAACAACAAGGGTTCTAATAACAATGGCGGCTGGCTGTTAGAAGAATACAGTCTTCTTCCTAATGTAGTTGCTGGCCCAAAGGTCGTTCTTTCCCGACTCAAAAGGAATCTGAGGTCTAGGTGTGGAAGCAAGATGAATTCCTCAAGTCCAACTCACGACTTCAATGAGAAGCCACCGATTAAGAGGGCTAGAAAAGAAGTATCGAATGAGAAGCCGCTGATTAAGAGAAAGAGAGCAAGAAAAGAACCGGGTTCACAAAAACATTCTAATGTGAATGTGATCACCAATACCCCTGCTGTTGTGCCTTTTGTTGGAATTGAAAGCAATATGATTACTGACACTAGGTATGATGATCAGGAGTGCATAACCAACATTAACGGCAATATGAAGCCGACTGATTTTTCTGATCCGGATAGTGTGATATTGATGAGTGATGTTCCTTCTTATCCCATATGCTTGGACAGCGACACTAGCAATCACGACCAGGGGTGCATAAGCTACATTAATGGAAATGTGATGCCCTTTCCCACTCATATTTCAGATCATGAATATGTGCCACTGATGAGTGATGTTCCTTCTTCTCCGATATTCTTGGGCGGCAGGGAATATCCTTTAGATGGTGAAGCAGTGCGTGCAGACATTAAAGAATGGTTGACAACGCTTGAAGGTAAATTGCCCCAGGAGTGGCCTCAAATTGACGAATTCAGCCAACTGTTAGATGGGTTCAATTACTGGACAGACTGTTTGTGGATGAGCAATTCTCTGAATGATCAATAGAGGGACGTAGAGGTGACAGCAGCTGTCTAATTTCCATGGCGTGCATATAGAAGCACAGTTATGATCAGTATAAATTTTATTTCCGTTCTTAGTATATATGCTCTGATTTCTTTTGGTTCATTAGTTAATTAACAAATTTGGTATAGGTGATTACCTGGGCCTTCTTCTCTGCAGTACTGATCCATTGCGTGCCTTTCATTTTGCTGCACCTCAGGTCTACTGTGTTTCCCCCAGTCATGTGTATGTATGTGCTTCTAGGATTGTTTCCAATTTTAATGCACTGAATGCTTTATAATACATTTCTTTTGCACCCAAGTATCTTACTTTCTTTTTATTTTTATTGACAAAAGGTTTCAAGGTTGATGATTTCAATTACTATACTAAATTTGAAAATCAAATTAATGTTTTCTTTTCCTTTGAATTACTCCCTCTGCACGTGTGGCTTCTGAGCATGTGCATGTTCTGCGTATTGTGCTTGAATTTTGATGTAACATGGTGTGTTAAGTTTTCTGTGTCAGTTTGTGAACGTATTGATAGTTTTGTTGACGATAAGGACAATTATCAAGTTTCTTGCCACTGTTTTTATGGGATTTTTTGTGGAATGTAAGTTCTCTCTGTTTAATTTTTAGTATTCATACCTTAGTCTATATTAGATATGTCACGTTCTGTTTTGGACCAGCAATGCAAGTTTCTCGCTGTTGTCCTTAGTTGTGTTTTTGGACTGTTTTGCTTTTACAGTTCTATTGGTCTTGACATCTTGCCCATAACTGATTTTCGTTTTACAGTTCTTTATTTCTCTAACTCCGCCTGTGTAAGTTTATCTTACGCTGCCGGTCCCAAGCCCGGATAAAGGAGGAGGGGGAGGGCGTCAGGTAGTCAATAACCAGCACTTCGTTTTCACATTGATTCCCTGTGAGTTCTTTAATTTCTCTGCTCAACAGGATGGTCGTGATTCTAAAAAAATGAAGCACTTTATTCTTTCTTTACAAATTGCATCTCTTTGAGTACGAGGTAGGATGCGGAGCTCACATGCTGTTTCCTGTGTACTTGCAGTTCTTTTGGTGTAGATTTCTTCATCATGTGGGACTAGTTTTTGAAGCTACTGTCTCTTAGGTTTTCAGTTTCGGTAGCTGTTGATGTTTCTGATATTATGTATGTCGCATTTGTGAGAGCATGACAATCCTCACAGCCCATAGTTGACTGTCATTTTGATCATTTGAAAGAAATGCCTTCAATTGCATTTCTGATGTGTCTGCTTTATTTTTATGTTTGTTATCGTTTGGCATGCATAGAGACACACTAAGATGAACAAGTAATATAAATTATCTTAATATTCAAATTTTGCAAGGGGTCATCAATTTCCTGTTTTCCACGTCAGGTATTAAGAGAGTACACGATGATGGTGAACATGGCACTCATAGGTCGTGATTTTAGATTGCAGAAAAGTCTGTCTTTGTCGAATTGAACAAGGCTTTCTTCTATGTTTTATACTCTTGTTTCTTATTCGACATTATTGACCTTCAAATTTATTTACAGTCAAGAAGTATATATTGCAAGGAGGGCCAATGCACCTACCTTTTTCTGTTCCTCCCTCCAATAGTATCTTATCTGCAGGCAAGGTATGCTTGCCTTTTCATGCTTCAAATTGTGGCATATTTGTTGTTTCATGTTGTCTATGTATGCACTTTTCGGTATGAAGTGGTGAAGTGTATTAAAATTATCTCATTTTGAAGAGTTCTTCAAAGTGTTGATTGTGGTTTTGCAGTTTGTTAGGCGTCTGCCCTGCTGCACTGCAGGGTCAGATAGAGAGGTAGTGAGAGAAAACATGATGATGATCTTTGAGATTTGATTTGGAGGCCGGGTACAGATTCAAGGTCAGATTGGTTTCTGTCTGATTTTCCCAGCCCATCTTACAGAAGTAGTTGCTGGGGTTATAACTTTCAGTCATCTAATTCTGGTGTGATTTTGCATTAGGACATGCTTCTGAAGCTGAAGATTTGGAAGATCTAACTACTATTGATGAATCGCTTTTCTGGCCGTTTGAGCAGAAAACGGATTGGAATTCAGAAGCAAACTGGAATAACTTTTCCATGTCACCCCGGAAGGGCATAAGTATAACATGGGCCTTGTTGAGTTTGATGGACACAAGCGAGTTGATTCAGAATTCAACGAAGATGATTTCTTACTGCATGCGTCTCTTGTTAGTTCGACTGTAGAACGTGTCTCATTGCGTAGATGAATGAACCACAAAGTGAAAATCTGGACGCTTATAACAGTCTTGGTCGGTCTTTTAACAATCATATACAGTCGGTTTAAGGCAAAGCGTGGCCTGAAAGTATCACCTGACGATAGAAGTTGAACATGATAAGGGTCACATCTCATCCAGTTATTTTCGCCCTTTCAGCGACTTCTGCACAGTCAACTTATTTGTAGGTTGTTTACATTTCACTGTAATCCCTATTGCTGCATTCTCTTTTCTTGTTTATTAGTTTTGCGAGAAATTTTCAGCTCAAAATCGTTTGAAGCCAGTCAACCGGTAAGCAGATACTATACTGTCTCCAATCCATATGTGCTTTTGGTTTGATGAATCAGTGTAGAAGCTATAGATTATGAGAACAACTCCTGATGGGATTTGGTTTAACGCACAGAAGCTATAGATTTGCTGTTTTATCATTATGTGGATGGTTTAACGCACAGAAGCTATAGATCTACGCGGGAGACTTGCTCACAATACTACGGTGTTATTCCACCACTTTCCCATTTGCTAATTTAACAGATTGTCGTCTCAAAGTGTCTTCTATTGTGCTGTAGTGTGAATGTGAAAGCAGTTCTGGCTGTTGCAGATTTAGAGAGGAAAGGCACAAACCTATATTCGACATAGCGGAAAAGTTTAAGAATGCCTGGAAGATCAAATGTACTTCGACGCGCGACATGGTTCAAAGATGCAAGGTCAGATTGCATCCTGTAGTTCCATATGTGTTTGCTTTCAAAATAATCCATGGCGAAAATGATCCATGCAGGTTCAATTTTTTAGGGTAGCTCTTTGAACTAGAGGAAGGACACAAATCCATAATTCAAGTTTTTTTTATTAATTGTGGAGTTATTTTGACACATTATGGATTATCGGTTTAATGCAATTACGATTAAGAAAATTCATCACACATTAATCCACATTCGACAAATCATACAGATGAGTATTACAGTACTGAAGATGTATTACATGAGAAATTAGATGGAACTACGAGTGGCAGGAATACAAAAGGGAAGTTTGAGCTATTCGCCCTTTTCTTCTTTTTCTTTTTTGTTTTATTATTTATACTGCCATTAGCTTGTTGATTGTCAACATACCAAATGGTTTGGGAAGGCAAGGCAAGGTTTGAGCTGAGAGTTTTTGTGCCGTAAATAACATCGTAGGTCTGGACGCTGGACACGTTCGTACACAAGCCAAGGCCATTGTCACTACAAGCACCACTGCCTTTGCAGATTCATTGGTTGGCGGTTCCAACCTTTGGTCTAACAAATCTTTCAGGAGCAATTCTACATTGTCCCTCCTTGATTTTGATGATTCTTGTAGCTGGGACTCTAGCATATCTCCTGGGTGCCTTCCCATCATGACTTCGAGCGCCACCACTCCAAAGCTATATACATCACATTTATCCGTAACACGCATAGTGTATGCAAGCTCTGCATATCAATAAAAACAAAACAGGCTACCTTAAAACATATCCCAATAAGCAAAAAGATGAACCATAAATGTACAAATTAAGTTTACATTACCTGGTGCTATGTAGCCAAATGAACCAGCAATATCTGTCCAGTTGGATGAATCAGTACTCAATAACCTGGCTATTCCAAAATCTGAGAGACGAACCTCGAAATCAGACTCAAGCAATACATTGTTAACGGTTATGTCACGGTGCACAATTGGTGGAGAGCAATCATGGTGCAAGTAAGAAAGTGCATGAGCAAGTCCTTGCACAATTTTGACTCTAGTTGCCCAAACGAGTTCATTAACACCTTCAACTCCATACAAAACTTTTCCCAAGCTTCCTTTCTCTAAGTATTCATAAAGCAAGAATATGCAACCCCTTCTTGAACAGAAGCCGTAGAGCCTTATGATGTTCCGGTGCCGGATGCTTGTCAAAGTTCGGATTTCATTCTGAAAGCTATGGAGATTGATTGCTGGAATATCATTAGAGTCTGACATGTTAAGCCTTTTAACTGCAACAACTTGGCCTGATTGCAACTCTGCCTTGTAAACCCTTCCAAACCCTCCTACCCCAATGCAGTACTTCTCATGAAAGTCATCTACAGCCTTCACAACTTCCGCAAACGTAAACTTTACTTCCTCTTGCAATATCATCGACTCCAAACTCTCAAAGTTTTCAGAAGTGTTGACTTTGTTCAAAACGAGACTGGATTTTTTACGGAACATAAGACCAATGACAGTTGTAACCATTAATAAACCACAAACAGGCACAAGGATACCAATTAGAACTCTTTTGTTATCCTTTTTGAAATTTCTGTTGTGCCGAGGGGGTATACTGTCTACACACGAGTCTACATACCCATGCAACCCAGAGTTTCCAACAAAAGCATTTTCTGGTGCCCATTGGAAAACGCATGGGATTCGGCCAGTCAAGTTGTTATAAGAAAAATTAACATCACGAAGAAAAATCGTGTTGACAAATGATGGGATTTGCCCCGAAAGATGGTTGTGTGACAAATCGAGCAGCTTAAGCAGAGCTAAATTGCCTAGAATCTGAGGGACCACTCCTGTCAAGTGGTTCCTTCTTAGATTGAGCGTCAACAGAAAGTTCATATTTCCAACTTCCGTCGGAATCTCCCCACTGAGTTCATTGGACTGAAGTTGCAAAGATTCCATATTAATCCAATTGGAGACCAGAGAAGGAAGGATTTGACCAGTAAATAGATTATTATCTAAGCCCAATTCAACGAGGTTGCTCAGATTGGACAAGGACAGAGGCAGTTCTCCATTGAGTTTATTGGAAGACAAGGACAAGTGGGTGAGGTTTGTACGAAGGCCAAGTTCAGAAGGGATTGATGAGTTTAAGGAGTTGTATGAAAGATTAAGGTACTGGAGCTCCCTGATTTGGCCTACAGAGGATGGAATTTTCCCTTCCAGATGATTCATTCTCAGGTCAATACTTTGAAGACCAGAAATCAAACCTATATTGTCCGGAATCGTGCCTGAAAATCGGTTATAAGCTAAACTCAATTCGACGAGGTTGTTCAGATTGGACAAGGACAGAGGCAATTCCCCGTTGAGTTGATTGGAAGCCAGGGACAAGTGGGTGAGGTTTGTACAAAGACCAAGCTCAGAAGGGATGGAAGAGTTTAAGGAGTTGTATGAAAGATTGAGGTATTGGAGCCCCCTGAGTTGGCCTATCGAAGGTGGAATCGTGCCAGAGATATGGTTATTAGCTAAACCCAATTCGACGAGGTTGTTCAGATTGGACAAGGACAGAGGCAGTTCCCCGTTGAGTTCATTGAAAGCCAAGAACAAGTGGGTGAGGTTTGTACAAAGACCGAGCTCAGAAGGGATAGAAGAGCTTAAGGAGTTGTATGAAAGATCAAGGTACTGGAGCTCCCTGAGTTGGCCTATCGAAGGTGGAATTTGGCCATTCAATTTATTTTGAGACAAGTCGAGGAACGTCAAGTTCCGGCATTGAGATATAAATTCTGGGAATTCTGAATGATATAGACTATAACGTTGCATAGACATAGCAAGGTAGGTCAATGAGGGCATGCCTGTAAATTCTGACCAATCTTGATCAGTATTGTTAAAATAGTTTAATCCAAGGTCCATGTACCGTACCTTTTTGAGATTGCTCAGTTGATAAGGGATGGTACCAGAGAGCCTGTTGTCGCGGAGATTTAGATACTGAAGCTCTGTTACCTGGTCAATCTCAGATGGTATAGGCCCATCGAAATAGTTTCCATTTAGATTGAAGTGGGTGAGATTTGGAAATGAGGGAAAGTCGAAAAGGGACAGTGTTCCGTCAATTGCCATATTGGAGAGGTCTATTTTGGAGACTGTTCTGGTTTGGGAGCAGGAAATGGCAGTCCACTTGCAGAGGCTGTTGAGGTTGGTGAGGGACCATGAATTGAGTGGCCATGATGAAGACCAGCCGTCCTTCCATTTGACGAGCGATTCTGCTTGTTTTCTTGGCGCTATTGATGTCGTTTTGATCAGTGGCAATGCGGACAGCAGCAGGAGCATATAAAGAAATGTCATGGTTTTGAGTTGCAGTATGATATGTTTTTTCGCCAGTTTGTATGCGTCACAAATAAATATGGGAGCTAGTAACAACTTTGGAGGTGCAGAGTTTCTAATCCTTTCTTTACGCTTGGAATTTCTGAAAGGATTTTCAACTCAATCAAGAGCCGTATGGTGCCAGTGTTGACTGACCCGGTCGGTCAAGTCTTCCCGTCAAGCGTGGAGTTGACGCTTTGAATTTTTGAATATTATTAGTCTTTAATATGACCACGCTAACTAGATGTCCTGATTTGTAGAATAAATAGTAAACATGGAATTGTAATTGGACCACAGAACTATGTTTGAAGATTGACGATGGTAGTGGTAAAGGATTTTTTTTGTTAGTATCCCACGTATTGTTGAATACATTTTACATAAATATATATTATTAAATCATTCATGTATCTTAACATGAAATGGGTATTTAGCCCCAAAAAATTTAAAGGGAATTGAATACACAAATTATTTACTAATATGAATCCTGATTAACTCTAAATTGGTTGTCATAAACCCGAACCCTAAAACCTCTAATTGACAAAAACCCCCAAATTGATAGAAACCTAAACCCTAAAAATAAAAAAATGTTACGAATTCGTAACCAGACGTACTTCATTACGGATTTTGTATGAACTACAACGTTTTGTTGTTATCAAAATCTATAACTACTCCAAAACAAATTTTCAATTTGTCAAAAAAACAATAAAAGAATAAATCCATTATAATATAAACAAATTTTTATCTAAGTGGTAAGCTTAGCAGTCGACATTACTTTCTTTTAAGTTTTGTACAGTAAAAAGAACTGAACCCATTATAATTTTGAAAAAAAATAAAAAAATTCACCCATGTCCTATCATTCTTTTTTGGGTCAAAATTTTGTGAGATTGACTCTAGAGGAGTAACAGAGAAGGATACAAATTCTGGATTTGTGCACTACCAGTAAAATAAACCAACAATCGAATGTCATGTAGTCGACTTCATAATTAGCATTTACATATTTAGCAAGAGTCTTGAAATTTGGAGGTGTGATGAGAATGAACAATGAGAATGTTGAATGTATGTGAAAAATGTGTGGTGCATGTAGAAAGTTTGGGGTGTGAGGGTAGTATAGGAAAGTACGTGGGGTGGGAACCGGATCCCGTCTTGAGCATGGAGACTCAAGCCTTCTGAGCAGCCCATCTAGGCCCTTGAAATTTGATCCAACGACTACAAACGGGGGGTCCCTCTAAAAGTTATAATAATTATAGTCGTTGAATCAAATTTCAAGGACCCAGATGGGCTGCTCAGCAGGCTCCGGTCCCTATGCTCAGGAGGGGATCCAGTTCTTGTGGGGTGTACTAAGATAAATTTTGATTGAAAAAGTAGATGTGGGATGCATTTAACAATACGTGGGGTATTAATAAAACAACCCAATGGTATATTGTAAATTGTATAGTGTATATATGGATAATCTTAAAAGTTTTTGTTTGATAAAATTAAACATAATATTTCAGTTTCAATCAAGTGAAGTAATAAAATTGAATATACTGCAGGTTCCGCGAGTGTAAAGTATTAAATTTCAATCCCAATAAGCGCTTAGTTTAGTGATACTCTCTCAATGTTGAACGACACCCTGAGTTCGAATCTCCCTCCCCCATTAGTTGGATTTCGGTTTCTATTAGTTATATAGAAAATTTGATTAACTCTTGCCCGGGACTTAATTAGCGTACTGGTCTCAATGAGTTTGAATGTTTTGCTTAAGAACTGCATTTTGGTTGAGTTAACCAACTTACATTTCATTACACCCCATAGTTAAATTATATATTTTCTATGTTTAAATTATATATTTTCTTCTTCACCGCCATCGCCTTGACTTCTTGTACCTGCCGGCTTTGCTGTACATAAAAAATTTCGGAGTTCAATTCTTGTGCGATTGCTCGTTGTGGCAGGCCGTCTTCATTAGGGCCGTCCTTGAGATTTGGGAGGCCCTGTGCGAAACTTGTAAAAGGGACCCTCTTTAAGATAGTTTTAAGTTTTAAAAAAGTATGCAAATGTATTGATACTAGAAAACATTCACTTAAATTAAAACAAAGGCACTTACTACTACGATCAAGTGATATTTATTTTCACTTATATGTGAGAGGTCTTATATTCAAGTCTCACCAAATGCGAATTTGAACCACATTATTGTTAGTCCATTGTGAGACTTAGCCCACTCCCCCACCCTCTTCGCGTAGATAATATCGTTTATTCAACAAAACAAAAAAAAATCAAAATAAACTTTAGCACTCACTGATTGCATGTTTACAAATGTCCTTAATGATAAGTAAAAAGAGTTACAAACAATAACCTTCACTAAATAATCAAAAGTAGTTTTATCTTAAACAATCAAACATGAAAAAAAAAAATAAAAAACATCAGACCTCTAACTTTAAAGTTCACTTGAATATATAACATTGTTATATTATAAAATTAAGAAACTGTCACTTTTCAGGGTGTTATTATTAACACTCAAAAATCTCATTGTACTCCAAGTTCTTATGTTTAGAAAGAAAAAAAAAAATACTCTTATGAGGAGTGCACAATGAGGTTTAAAGTGCTAATGGTAATTTATGAATGAAATTCAATTTTATCCTTTAAAAAAATGTGACAGTGATCGTTACCGAGACTCCAATCGAATGAAATTTGTTAGGTTGTTATTATATGCATTTTTTATACCTCTTTTACTTATTATTTAGTCATGATTTTATAATTAAATTTGTAAGTTTGATGTGTTTTGTGTGAATTTTATAGAAATCATAGTTTGGAGATAATTGTAGATTTTTCAGAGGAAATACCAAAAGAGTATGAAGAAAGATACCAAAAAAATACGAAGAAAGTACGAAGTGGGTTGCTGCTATGCGTGCTTGAATTTGGGCATTAAAAATTCGTTCAAACTGCGTCAATGAGCTGCCCATTTAATTGAAGAGGTGCTGCTCTCTTTTTACAAGGGATGGAATTTGGAATACCATTGGCATGTGGATTCGTTAAGAAGAGAAGGGGGATTTAAAGAAAAAAGACAGCACATATAAAAAGCATAGACATCAGAAGAGGAGGCTGCAGGCTTCCCAGTGTATGCACAGGCTCACATACAAAGTTGGAGTTCAAGATTTCTTCCATGTCATCAAATTCACCCATGTTTGTCATTAGTTCAATCATGAACTAAATCCTTTTGCTAGATTTAGGGTGTACTCTTATCATGAACATCTAATTCTAGTTATTTTATATTAATCTCAGTTATTTTCCATGTTGAGTAACTATTATTGTGCGCTATTGTTATCAAATGATTGACCATTGTTTGTGTGAAGAACTAAATTGACTGACATGTTGAGTTTAGTAGATTGCTTCTCGTAACAATTACCATGAATTTCATAGCCAAGTAGACATACTAGTTATAATTTGTGTAGTTCCGTACAATTATCCATTGAGTGTAAAGGGTATTGAATATCTATATGACTATATCTATGGCTAGACATAGCATGGGTAGATAGTTAGAAACACGGTTAGTATATTTTAACATGAAATATTGACGAATCAAAGGATAATTGCTAGCAACATGAGAATAATATGATACTAATATAAATAACTGGATTAGATGGGATTTAATGAGGAACATGATGTCCTAGTGTTTTCATACAATAATCTTTGATAATACATTTACTTTTACTTCGTGTTCGATTGATTGTTATTTTTGCTTGCATTTCGTTTCTTTGCATATTTGAATTTGTGATCATAATCCTTCTTTTATGTAATTTTAGTTTGAAGTTCATCGCAATATATAGTAAATTTAGGTTAATCCGATCCCTATTAAAACAACACTCTACTTATCACTATATTACTTTGGACGATATTGTACACTTGCAAATATCACAACAAACTTCAATGGAACAGATGGTTGTTGTGATCTTATGGAGAGGATTTTTTCTTTGTCACCAATGAACAAGTGTAGCATTGACCATAGAGGTGATGAGTGTTTCAGACCAAGATCAATTGGCGCTCAAAACAAACACGTTAGATTATGTGCGACGAAAACAGGTCCTTTATGCGAAAATAGCAAGAAGGCTGAGGTTGCGGCTACGGCTGCTATTTTCCAATCATCAGAAGAAGATGCTGATCTATGTAAAAAGTTTGGTAACGATAGAGAGTCCATGTGGTTGTCTTCTGATTGTCCATCACCTTCTGCCTTTTTCAGAGAGTATAGGTGGTTCGATTCATTTCATTCAAATGAATTGTTGTTACCTTCGTGGTTGGCATTGCTGGCAAGAACAAATCCGAAGGAAGAGCCATCGAGTTTGCATATTGATCGGAGATATGAAGACAATAATTTACACGAATGTTCGGAGGATGAAAATGCAAGAGGTTTTTTTGTATGCTCTTCTGAGGGTGCTGAGTCTTGTTGTGGAAATTCCTCTGAAGGCTCCCCAGTTTGTGGTAAGTTGGTAACTCTTCAACTCCTCTAGATTTTGAGAGAATAGGTTACCTTTTTTCGTTGTTAAATCTCGATGGAGAAGATTACAAATTGACACCGGGTACAGATTCAAAGTCGGATTGTCTTCTGTCTGATTTTCCCAATCCATTGTACAAAAGTAGTTGTTGGGGTCATGAATTTCAGTCATCTAATTCTAGTGTATCTACACCCAGTGAAGCACAAACTGAAATATCATCAGGATGTGATTTTTCGTCAGAACATGCTTCTGAAGCTGAAGCTTTGGAAGATCTAACTACTGCTGATGAACCGCTTTTCTGGCCATTTGAGCGGAGAACTGATTGGAATTCAGAAGCAACCTGGAATTACTTTTCCATGTCACCCCGGAAGGGCATAAGTATAACAGCTTCTGGAACTCGACCAGATTCCATTCCGTTAGAACACCATGATAGGAACATGGATGTCGAAGACGGGCAAGGGGTAAGACTAGCTTTCAGCTCAGGATCAGCAGCATCGAAGATTATGAAATTGAAGCAAAAATACAAGGGTGTCCAGCGGACTAATACTTTGCCTTCAAGGTTGAGCAGGGCAAAAGGTTCTGAGAAAATTGTACCTTTAGATACCAAATATTATGCTGTAGAAACCGAAAATGGAAAATTTCATGTCAGCGAGCCAGTTGGTGTGGTTAACGATCGCATAGAAGAAGATTTTGCGTCGAAAGAAGTTCCAATTGAGATGTTCTTGGGTCTTACTGAGTTCGATGGACACGAGAGAGTTGATTCAGAATTCAATGAACATGACTTCTCGCTACATGTGTCTCTTTGTTCGTTCGACTGTAGAACGTTTCTCATTGCGTAGATGAATGAACCACAAAGTGAAACTCTGGACGATGATAACAGTCATGGTCAGTCTTTTAACTGGCCTGAAAGTATCACCTGACAATTGAAGTCCAACGCGAAAAGGGTCACATCTCATCCAGTTATCGATCTTTCAGCAACTTCCGCACACTCAACTTAGTTGTAGGTTGTTTACATTTCACTGTAATCCCTATTGCTTCATTCTCTTTTCTTGTTCATTAGCTTTGCGAGAATTTTTCGGCTCAAAATCGTTTGAAGCCTGTCAACTAGTAAGCAGATACCATACTTGTCTCCCCATGTCTCCAATCTATATGTACTTCTGGTTTGATGAATCCGTGTAGGACAACGATTAAACTACTAGAGATATAGTTTATAATTCAAAGACTACGACAACAACTCCTGATGGGATTTGGTTTAACGCGCAGAAGCTATAGACTTGCTGTCCTGGTCAGTGTCGGATTGAGGCGCAGCAGCCACGCTTGTCTTACCATTATGTCGGTGGTTCCAAAGCCATAGGGACCTGCCCGGTGACCTCAACACCGAGAATTTCTGGTCACTGGACTCGACACAACACTACGGTGTTATTCCACCCCCTCCCGACTTTCTAATTAACAGATTGTCGTGTCGAAGTGTCTTCTATTGTGCTGTAGTGTGAACGTGAAAGCAGTTCTGGCTGTTGAGATTTAGAGAGGAAGGAGACAATCCTACGTTCGACGTAGCGGAAAAGTTTCAGAATGCCCGTAATTAAGAATATAATTTGCTATTTACTTTACTATTTAATTCATATTCGCAACAATTTCAGACCAGAATTCATTATTTCCTACTTAGTTTTAATTTTTCTTGATTGATTTCAGTTAATCTTCTTGAAAATTATACGTTTTGACAATCAATGAACTGAGCCTACACGGTCATAGTCCAACACAAATGTTTTATTCTTAGAACTAAAAATGTACCCTGAAAACAAACAAAAATATTGCTTTTAACATCTAGTTATATTCTCATTTCTATCATCTCTCGAGATGAGATCCACATATTTTGTGGGCCCTACCCTTAGTAGAGCGATGGTAGAAATAGATAATAAATATAGCACTACTTAAAGAAAAAAAAAAGTTACTAATCTAACCTTTTAGATTTTATGTACCACTTCAGTAGTAGTAGCACACAATGGCTGGTCTAAGATTCTAACATTAGGTGGACATAATCAATGTACGCTAGGCACTAGTCAGACGGCATGCTTTGGCCTAGCGCTTAGACGGGGATCTAGGTGGACCAGACGGATTTAAGTTAATTTATTATTTATCATATAAAGAAGTGCCTATTTACAAGATGAAAGTTTAAGTGATTATGAGATCGTAGTACTTCAAACGTTGTATGAATTTAGAGTGAACTTTAAAATAAATAACGGTGTCAAACATATTGTTTAAAAATATTGTTGATTAATACATCATCTTTTTATTAATTAAAATGCTAGGTATCACAACCTGATTGGAAAACAATTAAAATAAATGAGGAGTTGGTCATGTGAAAAACAGAGAGAAAATCTTTCTCCTTCATTGGAACCAAAGTGCAAGAATAGCAAAGCCATGGTGGTCATCTATACAACTATTGTGATTTTCTCTCTTCCATTACCTGCTTAGACCGTTGGGTGGTCCTCAGAGCTTCTCGTAGACGCTTCTTCAAATTTTTGAGTGGTTCCAAGACCACTCAGATTCGTACATGCATCTGCCTCTTGCACATGAGTTGATTAGAATATTAGCCCTAAGATGACGAGTTGAGAATGAGAGATTTTCTCATATAACCTAGTCTAAACACAAATAATGTTACCATTTAATAAATACTTATTATTTGTTAAAAAACTACAGACGATCGATGACATGAAAGAATCCCTCGTTAGATAATAGCTTGCAAAGTTCGCAACTCATTCTATTGTTATTCAAAGTCAATCCCCGTCCTAATCTTTCACCTAATCCTAGATCTTACCTAGCAACCAAACACTAGCGTATTCATCACATGAGGAACAATTTTCTATCACCTACCACGTACACGCGTCAACCATGTGGCCCCAGTTGACCAAAACTCCGTTCTACACGGGGGGAATCAAACACGACAAAACTGACCAAATCCGCGGCTCCCTATCCCTTTTGTTTTTTTAACTCCCAACGGGATCCTCTTCGTATTTTTGACGAGGATTTTAAGAATTTAAAAATCGAATCTGTTTATCTTACATTATGTGATTAATTATTATTAAGTATTATTTGTATTTAATTTTAAATAAAAATATTTAAAATAATTTCTGATCGTACGATGTATAATAAATGGACACGATTTACGGATCTTGAAGATCCCGCAAGTATAGCTACTTTCTCCAAATTCTACGAGGACTTGACTTCCACATTTACCCTGCAACTCTCTTTTATTTACAAAAGTGACACGGGCTTAACGCCATAGTCACAGTGTCATCCCCGCCAATTACTGTCGACTTTCAGTGGCAGTTTCGGGAATTCGGTTTATTTTACAGTTGGGGTCTGAAACCGAAGCTTCCTTGCTTTTCCTCCATCTCTGAAGAAGCTGTTGGTATTGGGCTTTTTGACTTTGATCAGAGCCACCGCCACCTCTGTTTCGCTGAAATTGCAGAGCGATTCTGATCTTCCGGACTGCGATTTATAAAGGGTATTCCTCGGACTCAGATTCTCGTGCTGAAATTTTTTGCTAAGAAATTCATAATTTGACACTCTGTAGACAAATACAGGTAGTTGTTTATGTATTTTTCTCTAATTTCTCTAATTCAATCTTGTTTTTCTTTTAATTTTTGGTGTAATTGGTGATATGGGTTTGGCTTAATTTGATTTTCTGCAAATTGTAAAATTATCATTTTAATTTTTAATTGCTACTCTTTATTTGGGATTTTTCAAAAATAATCGCTGAAATTGTGAGATTATTTGATTTTCTACTTTTTTTTTGGTAATTTAATTTTTGGTTAGTGAATGCAAGTTTATGACATTGTGTTAGGTTAGCGGATCCGATCAATTATTAATGTTGTTAAGTGGGTGGGATTAGTTGAACAAGAAAGAGGGCAGGGAAGGGCCTGAATGAAAGAATTGGTTTTCTACTGATTCATTGAGGAATGCTTCATGGACTAATTTAATGTGTTGGTAATTGCAAGGTTTTGTTTCCAAACCTTTGTTCCGGATATCCGGGTACAATGCGTGCACCATCATTGCTTGCACAATGTTTGCCCGGCTTGGTGCCTCAAGACAAAGGAAGTAATAGTGTGTCCTCTATTTCGGAGAGGGATTCGCACCTCCCTTCGCCAGCTGTTGAGATTATCCCTTCAAAGGTATAATCCTATCGACCCCTTCAACCATTTATGATCTTAATTCTACATGTATAACCCAAGAAATATAAACTTTATCGTTAGTTTTTGTTCGGTCTGAAAAATTAATGGTTTGTTACGCTCAAACTTTTGTTGGAAGAGAGGGGGCCAACAAGTTATAAATGTATTGTGACATTGTTCCCTTTATATACTGCAGACAGCTCACTCATACAAGTATGCTGGTGAGAATATTGACTTGCAAGGACTCAATGTCTTCAAGGTATGTCGTTCTTCTCCTATTTGTTCTGGTCTTTATACCTTGGCTTGGTTGAAAAGCGTCTTTAAGTCATTAGTTTATGGAAGATTAGTTGCAGACTGAAATTGATTATAAATTAACTAGCCCGATTAGACACATCTGTTTCCAAGTAAACCTTTTGCTATGGAAAGTCACAACCTTTTGCCATGGTTCCTTGTCTCTTCTAGAAGTCTCTTTTATTTTGGTGCTCGATCCCTTTGATTTTTTCCTGCTGCCTGCTTTTTTAATAGATGAATGTTAAATTACATGGCTTGTGGAATTTAGCTTGTAATACCTTATTGGACATATTAATGACTAGATGGACTAATTGTCATGAAAAAGCAGCATAGTGGACAATTCATGGAGCATTTGCATTATCATTGTTGAAAAGTTGATTGATGGCTTTCTCAATCTTTAATAGGGAAGAGTTAGTGTTTCTGATATCATCGGCTTCAATGGTTCAGAGATGATATCCATAAAACCAGATGGTATGGACACCGGACATTGCATTCCAATACAGTGAAAAGCTTTCAATTCAAATTTGGCTGTCGTCATATGATATAGCTACATTATCAGTCTCCTTCGATCTTAAGAATTATCTACTTGCTTTATCTGAGATTAAAACTGGACATTCATTTACTGTGTAGGGCATCTGAAATCTTGGGATAGCTCCATTGAGCTTGTTAATGGCCTTAAACATGATATTCGAGATGGGCAACTGAGCTTTCGAGGAAAAAGGGTGCTTGAGGTAGTATATCTTGCTCTTTTGTGCATCAGTTCAGTTTTCTTTTTACTTATTCTTGACTTTTAAACTTTTTGCTCCGAATGCCTTGATTATAACTTTATATCTCTTGATATATCCTTAAATTTCAGTCGGTGACTATTTGTCGTGAAGGTTTATTAGATATTAAAAATGACAGTTTTATAATAGTGGTTATTTGGAATAATCATTTTCTCTCATGTTTTTTCGGTTGCTTGAAAGTTTTGTAATTTGTTCTCTACAAAAGAGCACATCTTAAACAGTGCTACATCTAATTATGTTCGTCAAAATGTTCTCTAAATTGGTTTTTCTTGGTTAAATAATACAGATCCAGACAAGCAACTAAATGTGTTTAAATGTGTTCTGAACTCTATTTCTGTTAAACTTCCTTTTATTAATCGGTTACAAATTGATTAGTGGCTTAATCTTTTTACCTGCTGATTCTTGCAGTTGGGTTGCAGCTATGGCCTACCGGGGATTTTTGCATGCCTAAAGGTATGCTATTGTGATGGTTGTGGCTCTTTTTGTCCCATTTTCTTTCGATTTCACCCTATGTCGATATCATTCTTTTTTTCTTTAAATAACCGATGTCCAAATTTTTTCAAGTAAGGTGCTTTAAGAAGAAAATCGCTTCACATTTTGTTTGATGACATAACATTTCCAGCAGCAAGTATATTATCCATTTTGCTCACGTGAAATGTTGGTGATTAAAATTTCCCAAGATAGGGTTTTATGTTAATTTCGATGTCAATGGGATAAAGCATGAGTGCACAAGTCTTTGTAGCAGCTCCATTCAAGGTCTAATAAAGTCCCAGCCAAATACGTGAAACAATTAAACCAAAAGAAAATGAAATAACAGGTGAAAACAATTCGGTAAATGATAAAAAATAAAAAAAAAATGCAGGGGTTTCTCTAGGCTTCGGAACATATTTGAAGAAGTTGATTTATAATGTTTGTCTAATCTGACACATTTCTTCATAGGGAGCTTCCACGGTGCACTTTCAAGACCTGAATGCAGAAACCATTAGATGCACAACTATACCAAATGTCCTAGCCAATCTTGAGCAGGCTCGAGACAGGCAGAGCCGACAGACAGAAAGCCCTCTGACTCCATCAAGACAAACTGTGACCCAGTCGGTGCACTTTTATGCTGGTGACTGGGAAGAACTTCCCACAGTCTTGTCTATTGTAAGGAATGACGGTGAAGCATCAACAGGAATGAATCTCAGCTTCTCTGAGGAGGATTTTATGGATGGATGTAGCAGCCAAGACGGTAGCATCTTGGCACGAGAATCCTCCTCAAGGCGATCGAGGAAGCTTTCAGGAAGCCGGGCATGGGAGAGGGCTAGCGAGACAGAACAAGGAGGTGGATATGATATTATCTTGCTGACAGAGATCCCATATTCTTTGACCTCGTTGAAGAAACTTTATGCGCTCATAAAAAAGGTCAGTTTCTTTGCCCCTCTCTACATTTTACGTGAAGACATTGAAGCAACATGTTTGTTATGGATTCTTCCAATTTCTTGTACGAACAAACTATTTACAATGTTTTACTTTTGCTTTGAAATGATCAGTGTTTGAGGCCCCCGTATGGAGTGCTGTACTTGGCTACAAAAAAGAACTACGTTGGCTTCAACAGCGGAGCTCGGCATCTCAGAAGCCTGGTTGATGAAGAAGGCATTTTCGGAGCCCATCTAGTGAAGGAGATGGCTGATAGAGATGTGTGGAAGTTTTTTTCCAAGTGAACTGAAAGTACAGAAATAGTCGGAAACCGACCGTTAAAATTCCAAGTACAGAAATAGTCGGAAACCGACCGTTTAAATTCCTTGTGGAGGACGCCATTCAACAAAAGCTTCTTGTTTATGGGTTAGTAATAAGGAGGTCAAAATACTAAAGATTAGCCAACAAGTGTCTAATGTTTTCTTCCTTCTTTATTTTTTTAGTACATTTATCTTTTTGAAGAAAATACATTTATTCTTTAATCGTGTAAATCAGAACACTAATCTCTGTGTTAGATAATATTTTCTGAAATCTAAATAATATAATAGTACTTGCTTATGATGTAGAGGGCGAACCTTGGCCCAACAGACAAGTTGTTCCTTTGTAGTCAAAAGGTCATGGGTTCAAGTTGTGGAAATAACATCCTTGCAAAGCAAGGGCAAGATTGCATACTATAAATGTTCCTCTTGACCTTCACAAAGCAGGAGCCTTGTTAGCTTAGGGTCGCTCATTTTTGCTCGTGGTGTAGATTATCTGTTTGGCCGCTTTGCAGTTCAGAATTGTTTCGGAAAGAGAATTGGCCAAGTAACATCAAAATCTAAAATGTTTAAAGATGCATTCTATGTCATACCATGTGATCAAATAATTGGTTGGAAATATGGCCTTCGACAAAAATAAACGGTTAGTTTATTCAATCTAATGGTCAGAAATAAATAAAGGTGTGATGGGCGAGAAAAAGGTGCGAAGATCGACTCTCTTTACAAAACTATACATAAGTTTTTAATATCTATATATAAAATTTTAATGAATACAGAGGGCAAGGGTGTACCAAACAGAGAACTTAATTTTTAATATCTGTGTGAAAGGTAAAAACCTTCAAAGAAGTCTAAAAGGTACATGGAGTTAGCCTCGAAAGATAAAGTCGATTGTATTGCTGTTCGACACAAGTACAACATCCCTGAATATCCGAACTAAATCGTCTACTACTTTACTGAAGATGAAGTGGCCTCGTGATGTGAACAAAACATTTCTGCAGGTGGCAAAATCCGTTGATGCTATCTTGATCTTTTGGAGCAACAGACGCAGGACAAGGGAACGGCCAAAAGAAGAGATACAGCGTGAGGGAACTGCACATCAATACTTGGAAACGAGTCTCTGGATTCTACATACTACCCTGTCTGTGTCGGTTCTCTGTTAACCTCCTCCACACCATCTTCCCACAATGCAATAACGTCAGGATTGCGATGAAGAAAAGGAGCGGAATACCGATGATACAACCCCCAGATGCAAAATTAACAAGTGTCTGAGAAGTTGAAGGCAAAAGTCAAGCGTCTATTGAAGCATTAAGTTATGGAAAACAATAAACACAATAATAAAATGTAATGTTATTGGCAATCCGAAAATGTCATCCTGCACTCTTCCCTAAAACAACTTTTCCTTGTATGTTTACAAATTCGTAGTGTCAGATGACTTTTTGGAGTGCCGAAAACAGGTCCTAAACATAAAATACAAGATAATAAATAAATCCTCAAGTAACTAAAGAAAAGTAAAAGCAATGCAAACAATTTTTCAAATAGTAGATGAACCATTAAACACTGTACTTGAATGGAAAGAGCTTGTAAGAACGAAAAATGGAAATAGCTGAAATGCCTAAACAAACAAATCAAACATTATAGGAGTCAATTTCCACACCCTAACGGAATTAGATACTCAAATTATGCCTTCTTCGCATACCCTAACAATTGCTCAATTTCCATATAATTTATGAAATAAATAAAAAGATAAGCTCTCCTTTCATTACAATTTTACAGGAACTTGTGGACTTTTATTTAATAGAATGCCACCTCATGTATGCATCATTTGCATATCTTGAACCTTATATAATCCAAATTAATTCTACATCTACCAATCCATCATATATTATGTGTATGTGCCGCAATGTCATGTCATAGAATTGAAATTTTCCTTTTCTTATTTATCGTGAATGTGCTTTTGTGAATGTGTTTTTGTTCGAACCCACCAGAATATATATATATATATATATATATAGAGAGAGAGAGAGAGAGAGAGAGAGAGAGAGAGAGAGAGAGAGAGAGAGAGAAATTTCAGAACTACCAAGTTAAAACACATTAAAACATCAATGGAATGTCAAGAAAACAGTTAGACAAAGTGCATAAGCACAGACATTGTGTCTGTGTGTGACTGTGTCTGTTTTCCATGAATAGGTGAGGTTAGAGAGACATTTACCACCATGCCTGCTACAAGATGAACTACAGGAACAAAAATCTGGTCCACCTTGTTCCCTTCTGCATATCCATTGAATGCAATGACCATGGAAAAAGTATGAATTGTTACAAACGCAAGGGCGATGAGTGCTGCAAAAAAAAAGACACAAATTGTCGGATGGACAAAGCTGACAGAATAAATGAACTTTTCTAAACACCAGCCAACTACCAAAATGCTGTTGCAAAAGTTTCAGGAAATTTGATTTCAGTTTCCCTTGCTTGTTCTGAATGTACAGGTGGAAACTAAGATGGTCAAGAAACTACACAACCTCGCAATCACCTATATCTACAAACATGCTAAAAAAAAAATCCTATAACTGAAGAAAAAAACTAATTCCTCGCAAGCACCTATTTTAAGGTTTGACTCACCAGAGAGAAGAAAAAATGGTATCTTCGAGCACCTGTCAACGAAGAAGGTTGCTGGACCAAATGCTGGTGTTAATAGGCTGAGACAGAAAAACACAGCATGTGCCACACCATGACCCAGACCTCCAGCTGCATGATTAAACTGATAGAATCAGTCTAGTATGACAAAAAAGATTAAAATTGTTTGAATTGTCCTTTACAGAGGCTTAGAAGGAATTATGTGAACCAGTAAACGTGATACTATGCAGCAGCAGCAGCATCACAAAGCAAACAGATATACAAGAAGGTTCAAAACTTTTATTTTTGGACTAGGACTACCACTGTACAGTTGGCATCCACCCAGAAAATAATTGGAGAGTTGCACGGAAGAACACAAACCTAATAGAATGATAACAACAACAAAATATACAGAACTCAAAAGCACATCACCCTATAAACTCAATCACAAAGTTCTTAAAGGTGGAAGCCCACCAATTACCACCACCACCACCACCCCCCCCCCCCTTTCTCCCCTCTTCTTGATATATGATGACTACAAATGTAACAAATCTGAGAATCTTGTAAAGCTTACCCAGAGCGATTTGCATCTTATCAGTTAAATATAGCCGTGGTTTAGAGACTCTATCAGCAAAAGCATCCAATGTATCTTCCAACTTCCTACCATAATATGCAAAACAAGAGATGTTATATACCTTAATCAACCATAAACAACCCAAACTATAGATCATATGCGTCACATATACAAAGTATAGACGGACAAAAGAATTACACAAAAACTTCTACACAGAGAGAGTCTATTCTTAAATAGAAAACATAACATCCAAGTATAAAGGTTGTTGTGGGCTTCCACAGATGGCGGAAAGTTTCTAAACTTATATGATCGAGAAAACTGATTTACTTGATGCAGAAACTAGCAAGAATTTTAGTATTAGAAAATTCAGAGGCAGTGATGTGTGAGAAAATCAAGAAAATGACATTCAGTGAATGTGGTGATATTATGAAGTTGAATAGGTCAACAGAAAGATCAACAAAGCTAGGGCACAAGAATATTGCAGAGCATCTTAGACATTGAAAGAGTAAGAGTGTCATTTCGATTATGAGTAAAAACAACACGGCAAAGCATTTAGGTATAACTAGAACATTCTGTAAGGAAGCCTTACATAGAGATTCTTTAACCTCAGGTCCTCAGCTAGATAATACACATTTACCAATACAAGTTACAGAGTAAAGGGCGTTCCTTGAAAACTGCCTAATCCTAAAACTACACTAAGTTCACGAGTGAGACACTTTTCAAGTCTTCCACAAAGAATACCACAAAACTATTTGATACTCCATGAACTATCCTCTACTTGAGTCGAAATATTTGTGAAATGTTTCATAATAAACTATCCCAACTTTTTATTATGCCTTAGCTCACACTAAAAGAAAGGAATTTTCCCACTTCTTCCCATTACTTATAAATTATAACAAACACTAGCGACCCTTTAACAGGCTTTAACTACGCTGAGCACCAAAAACAATTAAGGACAAAGCCCCAGGAAATCAACTTACTTGTAGACCTTCCAGAAAAGAACCCGAAGCCCTTCTTGAAACACAACAGATGTGAATATGAGAATGCCATACGGCCACCATGCCGATGATTTCAGAGGTAGGAATGCCCTCCACAATCCCGACAACACGATGAGACTTATAAGCCATAACAATGTACTGCACACATTATTACAAAACAATATTATCAGCCCAAATTACATTGTATTCATACACCATAAACAAAATACGAATTAATAATCCCCTTCCTAATAATAGCATTCGACTTCCAATTTGCTTAATTTCAAGATTTTTGCAAACACTTAACAAATCACAACTACTTTTTCCAAATTCCATCATAAAAATATGAGCTTGATTATTACCACGGCTACAACATAAGCTTAAATTGAAAGTTTCAATGTTCGAACGTTACCCAAGAAGGAGAATTTACCCTAAAAGGAAATACACCAACAAAAGGGGGAGAGAGAATTAGGCGAAAGCTGACCTTGAAAGGACGGTAAGAACCAGAAAGGGTTTCTTGGAGATGACAGAGACGAAGAGGGAGAGGGAGGGGCCTAGCGCTAGCAAGGCGTAGCCGATCCCTGCTGCTATCGTCATTTCAACTGATCGATCGGGGAAAGCTTTTTACTCGGTAGACTCCGACTCCGACTCAGTTCAGTGGCTTTTTTTCCATATTTCTCTTTTTATTTTGGATTTTAAGATAATTATTCTTGAAATAATTGGTAGTTTTGATTAGTCCACGGTATTTTTTTTTTTTTTTTTTCTTGGACAGTTCTAACGAAACACTATTGGTATTGTTCATTTTTAACGAAAAATTATATTTTCATCTTTTTCTGGTACTATTCATTACACATTTATTTGTCATTTTTCATTAAGATTAAAGTTTTTTCAAACTTTTCGTTAGTTTTTTTTTTTTTTTTTTTTCTACAATATGATAGGATTTCTCCTTTTTCTTGTAACCAAGAGGTTTAAATTCGAATTTTGTAAACCTCGAGTTTGTAATAATTAATTTACTTTAAATATATTTTTTTAAAATATAATGTAAATCTCAATTCCCCCCTCTCAAGTTTCGTAATTTTCAACATTTGGTACATGAAGTTTTTTTCATCCTAGAGTCATACCTAAAGTGTTAATTTTGGGATAGTCTCATACATCCGTTAGTCTACCTGTTAAATCAGTCGTTAACAGATGATATGGCGCCCACATGGACAATGATTGGACACTACGTGTCAATATGGGACCACGTGAATATTTAAAAATTTAAAAATAAAAATTTTATGGGCGTTCGTTCACCCCTCCCTCCTTCCTCCATTCTCTTCCCTGCACCCAACCTCCCCGCACACCTACCTATTCTCCTCATTCTCCCTCCCTTCTCTCCTTTGAACTCACCCTCCCAGCACACCCACCAATTTTGATCCAGAAAAACAAGAGGGAGAACCAAAAATTCAAATTTCTAGGGTTTCCGATTTTCCGATCTCTCATAATTGGAGAAGTACGAGAACCCTCCCACCCTCTCTCCTCTAAGCCCACCCACCCCTCTCTTTCCTAGCAAAACCCTAAACCCACAAATCTGGATTTCCTCCAAAACTCATCATCCCCCTACCAATCACCCCTTGACTCCACTGCACTTGTTCAAGCAGTAGCCACCTCTCTCGTCGCCTTCCACACCCACACACACAACCTCCAAGAAGTCCTCCTTCATTCCTCCTCCCGAAATCCATCACAACATCCACCGTCCCCCACCCCCCGCCGCCTCCTCCTTCATTGCCACCGCCTTCAAATGCTCCAACCCATTTCTAGTCTTCTTTTTTTTACTCCTTTCCCTCCCTCTCCTCTTCCTCCTTGGCCCTCGCTTCCTCACCCCCTCCAACGCCAGCATCCCCATTTCCCCGCCAATGAACTCGACAACCAAATCCTCTTCTCCCGCGCCCTCAACCCTAACCTTAACCGACCCAAACCCACTTTTCCCTCCTCGCCCTCGATTCCAAGTCCTCCAAACCCGAGTTTGTTGATTCAGGGATGTGTGGCTACAAGTTTGTAGGAAGACTGAGTTTTGATGTATGGAAATGAAGAGGGTTGGGTGGCCATAGAGGAGAGAAATGAGGGAGGTTTGGGAGAGGTAGGAGAGGATGGGTTGGGCGATGGCATTGAGGAAGGCGACGGGGGCGGCGTAGTTTGGGTTAAGGTGGGTGAAGGTTGATCTGGGGAGAAAGAAGGGAGGGGTGAAGAGGGAGGAGTCGGAAGGATCGGGGAAGAGAAGAGGGAGAAGAATAGAACAATTTCTATATTTTTTTTATTTTTTTTAATTTTTAAATATTCATGTAGGCCCATATTGACATGTAGCGCCCAGTTATTGTCCACGTGTGCGCCACGTCATCAGTTAACGGCTAATTTAACAGTCAGACTAACGAATGTATGATATTATCCCAAAATTAACACTTTAGGTATGACTCTGAGACGAAAAAAACTTCATGTATCAAATGTAGAAAACCACAAAACTTGAGGGTAGTAAACTAAGATTTACTCTAATTTATATAACGGTAAGTAGCTACACCATTATTTCTCAACCACTACGACTTATTTTCTTTCAAAATATTTTAGGGTTTGATATCATTTTAGTCAAAGGGGTTTTTTCCCTTTTTTTTACATGGGAATTGGTCATAAATGTTTAATTTTAGGTCTATGTAGGAAGTGATCAAATTAAAACACCAAATTGACTGCAAAACTTATACAAAATGCCAGCACTTCTGCAAATATCAAAAATATTCCGAGTCTATATAAATCCATATGTTTGACATTTGGTATTTCCAATATTTTCTGACCTAAACTCAAGAAGATAGGATTATTGCATTCCTTAATGTCGAAAATATTTTCTGACCTAAACCAAATTTCTTATTATTACTTATTAAACTTGACCTAAATTAAATTTTCTATCACTTACAAAACTTGAGGTGAAGGACGCGTTATTAATGAATTGTTAAGAAATTTTGATCAACAAATTGACCCCAATGAGTCTTGTAAACTTACAAAATTAGTTGAACCGACTCCACATTCGAGGTAGTTGTTGATGTGATTCTTATCCAACCATTACAATACCACACACTTAAGGTGGAGGTTGTTAACGATTTGAGAGGAAATTAAGCAACTATAAGTTATAAATAAGTTGACCCCATGGCACTTTGTAGGATTTTTTTTTCTTTCTTTTACTACAATGATATAGTTAAACAAAAAATTTGATGAATAAATTCGTATTGAACTCAGCATTTATGATATTCAAAAATAAGACATCTCACTTATAAGCGAAAAAAATATCACTAAATTGTAATATTAAGTGGTTGCAGGATTTAAATTTGGTTGAGCTGACTCTACAACTCTAACGACTAATGTACGTATATTCATATGTTCATTGGAACATCGATCGATCACAAAAAATATAGACGGGACCTAAAAATATCCACCATGGCTAATTTATATATTTTTTTAAATATCCACTGGTGGACGATCCTCAAACACCCAATCCTACCAAAATTTGTTAGAAAAGAAAACAAGTACAGGGAGGAGGACAACTAGCCAAAACCTTGAAGAAAATAGACAAACAAGGTTATAAAAACTTACATCAAAACGGTAGTTGGGCTTAACACCATACGGGACCCATAATCAATAATTAATAAGCATATTACGCTAGTTCTATATCAATTAATTAAACAACTAATGCAAAACACCACCTAGAAATTGTAGGTATTATAGTCGTCAAACAATATGCAGAATTATTATTTTTAGATAAGTATGGTAAATGTTCTATACCTAATTCATAAAAGGATAAAAAAAAATTAAAACATCAAACAAAATGAATAAAAAAATTAAGAGTGCTATTAAAATCATCTCATTGTCTTATTTTTCCATCCATATTATAAATTCATCTACTATAAAATATTAAAAAATTAATATGCTCCTAAAATAACCTTTAATGTATATAAATTCTTTTTTAATTTTAAAAAATATATATTAAAAAGAAGCAATCGACCTCTCGTACTCGCCATTGAAGAGAGCAAAACGGGAGGGGGACGAGGAGAAAGAAGCAGGGAGAGACAGAGAAACGGGGGACTAACAAACTAAATGGCCGGAGAGATGTGAGAAATGGGTCGGGGGTTGGATGTCTTTCTCCGTCGTGTGGGTGCATGTGCTGTTGGATCTGGTCATCTCTAGGTTGACCGACGCGTAAGTCTCGTCCCCTCCCTCCTTCCTATGCAATTCACAATCAATTCCTAATTCCATGAATTGAATTGTGTTTTTTTATTCCTAATTCCATGAATTGAATTGGTTTTTTATTTTTATTTTTTTTTATTTAAGAAAACTAACGAAAAGTCTAAACAAAATTTAGGGATGTAGTCAAATTTGGATTTGAGAGGACTTTAAAATCCTAGTGTAGTCAATTAAAAGATTTTAAAGGATTTTAGAATCCATTTAAATCCTAGTGTAGTTAATTAAAATATTTTAAAGGATTTTAGAATTCATTCAAATCTATGTGTAGTCAATTAAAAGAGAGTTGTGATATCCACACATCCCATTTTACTTTTCACACAACTTTTTAATTTTCGACCGTCGGATCAGATGAATTGAAGAATATCAACAGACAGAAATTATCAAAATGTGTGTGAGAAGTAAAATGGGGTGTGTGGATAGCACACCCCTTAAGAAATTTTAAAGGATTTTAAAATCCATCCAAATCTAAGTGTGTTAAAAAAATTAAGATTTTGGAAGATTTCAATAAGTTGTGGATTTTGTAGGATTTGAGAGCAAGAACTATATATAACCAAGACTAAAAAGAATCCAACCTCACCCCCTAGGATTTCAAATCCTTTTCCATTTGGGTAGTCCTCAAATCTATACCAACCCCAGCTACACGTAAGTAACCACCATATACTTTGGTAGAATCTCTTTTTGTAAGCATTTCACAGTATTGCACACAATTTGAGCTAGGTTTTTGGACGAGTTCTCGAATTCTCAAGGCAGAGGGGAATCACATTGATGCTCAAACAAAAAATATTAGTAGTGTATGTAAAATACGAATATGTACATCATCTATTATGCTTCTTTATTTCGACATCATCAAACTCTTTATGTCCTGTAACGACAAAATGTCAGTGCGAACTTCCATCAAACACCTAGAGTGCCACCTTTCCACAATCCTCAAAACTCTCACTCGCTCTCTCTCATAGTCGCTCTCTACCCCGCCGCAGTCGCCAAAGCCGCCACCTTCAAAGCTAGACCTGCAAGATCCCTACTCGCTCCTCAAACAAGACCCAATCGAAATCTGCTCTTCTATGTGGGTCAAGGCCTTCTCTTCCCCGCCCACCATCACCTTCCCCAACCTCATCGGCTTCCTCTCCAAATTCGACCTCTGGGTATTGGCCTACCAGCGTTCCTGGGCCCATGTGACCGGTACGTTCCCGCCCCGCAGCACTATCCACTCCCATGTCCTCCATGATCTCATCTCCCTCTGAAGTCGGTGGTGATGGTTGTTGGTGGTATAGTGCTCAAAAGCTCACCAAAGTTATGTTGATCTATCAATTGAGAAAGAGATGGAGTCATGGTTGTGTGAAAGGGAACTCGAAAAGGGGGGGGGGGATAAAGTGGTTATTGATT